ACGCTCCCTCTACACTCGATGTACTCACCTGAAAAGGGCGAACACCGACAACAAGAGAATGGAGGAAGTGAGTTGTGCTGTTGCTGAAGCTACGGCTTGTGATGGTGAAGGTGGTGGAAGAAGTGAGGAGAAAGAAAAGGCGGAAGGAGGAGGAGTGGGAGGAAAAGGGAAAGATGGAGTGGATGGGTGGTGTGGGATGCAGTCACCTCAAAAGTAGCAGGCACCACAACAATTGCCATTCCTCTGGTAGTTGAACACAACACCTCTATGTCCATCTCCCTTCGACTTCATCAACTCACGGTACATGAGGTAGTAGAGAGCGTATTTCTGCAAATCCTCTGTCGTCACTTGAGCCATGCGCAAATCCTCCCCGCACTCCTCCCACCTCACACCGTCTCATTTATATATGCGGACAAACATCTGCTCTCACCACACACCACCACCTCCTTCTCCTTCCGTGTGGTTGTCAGGTGGTGACACCTCGTGATCGCCATCTCCTCTTCCCTCACATCAACTCACGCGACGAGATGTACGCACTTCTCTGCCATCCTTATCCTCCACTCTCCCACTTATCCGCACACTCACTCACTCACACAGTCAGTCAGTCACCCACTAGTCGTGCGAATCTCATCGGCACTCCACACCACCTATTTAAGTGGAGGTGGAGACACGGCGGACGGTGTGAGAACGAAGGTGTGAAGAATGGCGGCACAGGCACAACCAGTGACCACCACCGACTTGCAGGCCTACATCCTCTACTACCTCCTCTACCGCCAACTCATGAATTGCGGTCCATGTGGCAAGTGGACTGGTGGACTGCCTTAATCCTCCACTCCTCCTCTCTCTCTCCCCCTCCTCAACTCCCTCTTCAGTGCCCCGTCTACACTTTGCATTTTACTCCCTCCCTTCCCTCCACTTTGCCCCACGCTCTCGTCTCTGACCGCCTCTGTGCACGTCTGCACCGCTCACCACCTCCACCCCGCCTTGTGCATCCACCACCTCAGCACTCCTCTTCCTTGCACACACTTGTTTGGTAGAATGGACTTCACGAAGGACGTCGTCTTGT